GGGGCCGCGCCGGCGGCGGGAGCACCCTCAGAGCCTGAAGGAGGCCTCGGAAAACGGGTGCTGCATCTTGAAGCTAGACAAGAAGCACTGCAGGGGCGGGGGCAGGGGGTTGAGGAGGGACGGCGGGAGGCTGGGGAAAAAGAAATCATCTCCTCTGACCTCTAGCGAAGTGCCAGGTTTTTTCTTAAGCTCTTCACATTTCCTAAATTTGCAGATCTGGTGTCCCGTTTTGCGGTTCCTGCAACTGCTGCAGACTCCACAGTTGATGAGCCGCTTGCAGGGCACGCACACCCCGCAGCGTTTCCGCTTCTTCTTGGCGGGGTTGCCCGCCCCGGCCCCGGCCCCGGCGCCTCCTCCTCCGCCGCCACCACCTCCGCCACCACCGCCGGCCCCCCCGCCGCCGCCGCCGCCGCCGCCTCCTCCTCCACCGCCCCCCGCGCCGGCGGCGGCGCCCAGGGCGGAGGCGGGGGCGGCCGAGGCGTGGCTCTGCGGGCAGTCCGCCAGGTTGGCGATCTGGAAGGCGCTGTCTGTGACGGCGGCCGAAGCCGCGGCGGGGGAGTGCAGGGCCGTCATGACGATGACCCCGGGTGGCAGCGAGAGGCCGCCCAGCGCCGGGATGGCCGAGAAGGTGCCGACGCGCTCGGGGAGGTTCATGATGTCGGCTTCGGCGGCGCCGCACTTGAGCTTGTTCATGCACTCGCCCGCCAGTGGCCGGCAGTGCTCGGGGGCCAAGCCGGAGAGGAAGTTGCCGTTGGCCATGGGCAGCGCGGGCTGCTCGGCCGGCGCGCAGCCGGGCTTGCCCAGGCGCTGCGAGTCGCTCCGGTGGTGCATGCCGCCCCTGCCGGCGTGCAGCGAGGAGGCGGCGGCGGCCGCGGAGGCGGCGGCGACGGCGGCGGAGGAGGAGGAGGAGGAGGGCTTCCTCGCGCCGCCCGCCGCGCCGCCGCCGCCGCCGCCGCTGCCCCAGAGCATGGCGGTGGCGGCGGCGGCGGTGGCGGTGTCGCAGTTCCAGGGGGACATGCCGATGCGGGCGGCGGCGGCGGCGGCGGCGCTGGGGAAGATGGGGGTGGTGATGCGCGCGATCTTGGCCGCCTGCGGGAAGGCGCCGCCGTTGGTCTTGTAGAAGGTGGCGAAGGAGCGGTACCTCTCCATCTCCGAGTTGTAATCCACAAGGCTGTTGAGGGCCCCCTCGGGCAGGTGGCTGTCCTTGGGCAGCCCCGGCGCCTCGGGGTTGGGGCCGCTCTCCACGCACACGTTGGTGTTCATGGTGGCGGCGAGCGGGTGGGGGTCGGGGGGAGCTCAGTCCCACGCGGGGCGCGTCCCCGGCGACGCCGAGCGGCCGGCCGGCTTGGCCTGCCGCATCCTCACGGGAGCTGAAAGACACAAAGTGGATTCCCAGGGGGGGGCGGGAGCCAGGGGAGGGCGCAGGGAATTCCCGGCGAAGTCTGCAGGCGGGCGCGGGGCCGGGGCTGCCCACCGGCGGAGAAAGCGTAAGGGGAAAACAGAAAAAAAAAAAGGAAAAAAAAAAAAGGAAAAAAAAAAAAAAAAAGGGAAAAAAAAAAAAGGGGGGGGGGCAGAGGGGGGAGGCGGAAAGGGGATGAAAAAAAAGCCCCGAAGAGAAGGAGGCGGGGAGCCGCCAGCTGCCGCCGTGTCCTTCTGCGCCCTGCGGTCATTAGCGCCGCGGCACAGCTGGCAGCGGGGCGACAGCCGAGACAGCAGCGCCGGGGCAGGCGAGCCGTAACCGCGCCGAGGCCCCGGGCGCTGCGGGAGCCAGAGTTCACCCCGCAGGGAGGGAGGGATCCCCGAGGCCGTCTGCAGGGAGCCGCGGGGTCAGGGCGGCCGCCCGCAGGCCGCTGCCGGGGGGCTTGGTTTAGAGGCGGGAGAAAGGCACGTTACGGCAGCCTTCGCCAACTGAGGCGAAACAGCAGTAGAACTTCAAAAGCCCTCAGTTTCCGAACAGTGGCTCTTTGTTTTCCAGCTGCCGTACCTGAGCGGCTCAGATACTTCAGCACCTTTTCCGACGGGCGGCCATCGGGCAGAGCCTCCGCTCCGGGCACGCCGCGGGGCCGCATCTAGCTGCCAGACGCCGCCACGTTCAGTTCCAAATGGTTATCAATTACGGTAATTACGATCGTAATTAGATTAATGAACCGTTCGGAGCCCAACCTACCGAGCGCACCAACTTCATCTTCTCCCGAGGCACCGAAAAGCGGGCTTTATGTCAACAGATCCGAGCGCAGGGAGCGCGAACCTGAGCGAGAAGCCTCGCCCCGGGCTGGAGTGCGGCGGGAGGAGACCGGGAGCCGCTCCGCGTCCTCCCCTCGGCGGGGAAGGGACGAGCCTGGGATGCAGCCGGCAATACAAAGGCTGCCCCGAGAGGAAGGCGAGCGGAGCCGCACGGCCTCGGGGCCTCCGGCGGCGGCGGGCACGCATCGATCACGCACCGAGAGGCCGCGTGCCGGGGGCTGAGCCCGCAGCCCTCACCGGGGACCGCCGGCGGGAGGCGGCCGTGGCCGTGCATGTTCGCTCCCGCACGTCTGGCGTGCAGGAGCCGGGGTGCAGAGGTCATATTTGACATTCGGGAGGAGGGGCGGGGGCAGATTAATTAATAAATTAATGCCCCGGCGCCTTTTCTCGCCCGGCTCTGGCGTTCAGGTACTTTGGCGAGCCCTGAGGACAAGAACGACGGCAAAAAATAAAAAATAAAAGATACAAAAAGCCGCCGACAAAGCACAAAATGAGAAAGATAAAAAAAAGAAAACCCACCCCCCTTAAAGAACAAAACAAACAAACAACAACAAAAAAAAAAAACCACAGAGAAGGAAGGAGGAGAGGGAAAAAAAGCAAAACAGTCACTTACCGGGCTCTTTATTGGGGGGGCTTGGATGCGCAGCCTGCCCGCCGCTAATTAGTTGCACATCAGTCCCTAACACAAAGAAGGAGACGGAGCAGCGGCGGCAGCGAGCATCCAGCTGTGTCCTGGCGGCTCCTCAATTACAACTTTGCGACTTGTAAACAAACTGCGAGGGGCGGCGGGAAGGGGCGCGGGGGGCGGGGGTGCCCATCCGGCAGCGCCGAGCCGCTAAACAAATACCTGCGAGCGCCGTTCCCCTCGCTCCCTCTCTCCGTCTCGTTGCAGAGAAAGGAGGAGGAGGAGGAGGAGGAGGAGGCGGGGGAGGCGGCGGGGGGCGAGGAAGGAGCAGGCACCGAGGGAGCGCGCGTGTGAGTGTGCGTGTGTGTGTGCGTGCGAGGGCGGGCGGGCGGGAGCCCGGGGCCGCGTCCCCGCGCCGCGGCCGTGCGCGCCGGGCGGGCGGGGCGGGAGGGAGGGAGGCTGGGAAGGAAGGAGGGAGGCGGCGGGGCCGGGGGGAGCGGGCGGGGATGCGGGAGGCGGGCGGCCGCTGCCCAGCCGCCGCGAGAGGCGCGCACGGGCCGCCACCCTGCCCGCGGCACGGCACAGCACGGCGCACAGCGGGGGGCTGCGAGAGCCGCGCTGACGGGAGGCGCAGCTAGGCGCGCAACTTGGTGCCAGCGACTCAGCGATCGTCAGCATCGTTCGTAGCTGCTGCTGTTGATTTTTCGGGAGGTTTAGGTGCTGCGCGTTGTGGGCAGGTGGAAGGGAAAGAGCTGGCTTGCAGATGTGATGCGGCCTCTGGAAACCCACGGTGTGCCCGCGTCCACGTTGCCGTTGGAAAGCCGAAGTTGGGTGGCAGCATCGGTGCCGGCCGCATGTGGGGTCACCCCATGGGCACCCGGCCAGACGCGCGCCATTCACACCCCCACCGCTTTGAATCTTACATCTGCCTCTGGTCCAGCAGAGCAGCAGCAGAGCAGGGTCTGTCGGACAGCCCTCAGTTAGCTGAGGAGCGCCAACACTTGTATGCATTATTCGGAGCCCGCTGCAGTGCATCCGACTGATCATCTGCCTCTAAACACACAGTGTGCATTTGAAAATACCCCAAACAGGTGTTAACTCATTAAAGCATCACCTCCCAAGGAGACGGCACAATCCTGCAGGACGGCTCTTTTCAGAAGAACTTTTGGGGAAAAATACAACCGAGGGGAAATGGTATTTCAGGAACATCACAGAATGAAGGGGCTCTGAGCACCTGATGGAGTCGTATATGTCCCTGTTCACTGCAGGAGAGTCAGACCAGATGGCCTATAAGGTCCCTTCCAACTCAAACGGTTCTGTGATTCCCTACCCCTCTTCCCCCTCCCTTAGTTCCCATGCCCTGTGCAATACCCAAGCACTCGGCACACCATTCAAACACACAGCCTGAACTGCATATTTCCTCTCATTGCAGCCTTGGTCACACACTAGCAGTCCTTTCTGAGTTAATCTATTACTCTGAAAGAGTTACATTGTTAATAACCAAAAAGAAGAAAGGAGAAAAACCTCTACCCATCTTTTCTCATGTATAAGGAAGGACGTTTCATATATTTTACAACTGTCAGTTGGATTTCCAATTGAGTTGGATTGCAATGCTATAGATAATCCTTCTGCTCCAGCTCAGAAAACTTGCACACTTTTCTAGTGCCTGGGAAGAAGCATGGAATTCACTCCAGATGGGTTCTCTCCAAAACCTTCTGTTCAGGAAAGTTGTTTTGTTTTCAGATACAAGCCTGCTTTATCCTGCAGCCCACCCCAAGCTCGAGAGTGTCGGAGGATGGGAAGAATGGAAAATGTACAGGTGTTTGTTGGCGAGGCAACAAACGAATTCCAGATTGTCCTTCTCACTGTAATCCCTGCTTTGATGGGAGGGATGGAAAGTTGGAAATCCCAGGCTCTGCTTTTCATCCAGAAGCCATTGCTATTTCATTTTTAGCAGGAATGCACAGCCCATGGTGAACACAGAAGCTGCTCTGCTCTGGTTGTTCAAGAAGAAAACTGTAAAAAAAACGATCCCAAATTTTTTTTTTTCTGCTCTTGTTTATTCCATGCCTTGCTCTCATGCCTATCTGTAAAGTGGCCATTGTAAACCTATCCCAACCTGTTGTTGATCCTATAAGTGTTGTATTAGCATTAGAAAAAGGGGGGAAGATAGATAGCAGCAAACATGCTCAACTTTTTGAATGCCTCCTAAAACAACAAAAGGAAAAACAGCCATAGAGTCATTGAATGGTCTGTGACAGAAGGGAACTTTAAGACCGTAAAAATCTCAAGAAATACTTTCTTTGGTTGTGATGTTGCATAGGTCTGGCCACTTTATCCCTGAAATAACCACAGATTCTGTTACCATCTCAGTTCCACACTGCAAGAAAAGGTGTGTATTTACAGCTCTGTCAATGCCTCGCTCCCTTCATCTGTTGTCACATTTTCACTGTTAGAGATGCAGACTCATATGGAATAAGCTTGTTTTTCAAGTACTTGATTTCACACAACACTATTATTTATGGCTAAGGCTTGATTGGGAGGAATGACAATCAATCACTTGAAGCTGGTGTCAGTGCCAGGAGCATTCGTATCCTACAGGCCACCCTTCTGACTGGCAGCAAGCATCAGCACACAGCAGTTGGCCATATCCCTTACTGTCCCCTGAGGTCAATGTTAATCAGCCTTCAGCTTTTCTGCCAGAAGGCATAAAAAAGGGATTCCACATGCTGCGTGGTGTAGGACTGACAGATAAGCCCACAGCAGCGCTCTAGACCATCTCCAGTGTCCCCAGAACCCGTTTCTTTCATAGATTTCAGAGGTATCCCACAGCGGAGCAGCGCTGTGGAGGTCAGCTGGCTTCTCTACACACTAAGGAGTCTGAAAGATGCCAGATGCTGACAGCACAATATCCATCATCTAATGACAAATTATCGTCTCCTTTCCAATGCTGAACGTTCAGCAGCAGGCACCATCTTGCAGAAGAGGTAGCTGCTGGGGTTCAAATAATGCTAACTTTCATCATCATCTAATTGTCACCTCAGCTCTCTGAGTATCTCTCAGTGTTGTCCTACTCACTGCTGTGACCCTGCAGAGTCAAGAAAGGGGTCGTTGGAAAAAGGAAATGAGACCCCTGATGCGAACAGCCGGTGAAAGAATGCATCACACTCAAAGAACGGCGACAAAATGTGAGCTTCTGGGCCCGGGCAGGTGGACAAGAGGGCATACGCTGAGGAGCCAACAAAAGCTGGCAAAACAGATAGATAAACTGTATCACGAGGATGTGATAGGAAAACAGGGGCAGGACAAAACACAGAAAGCACCACCAGGGACACAAGCAAATTGTTTTGTCTCAACAAGATCTATCCTTTCTCACACGTGCACAGTCCTGTCC